TTGGGGGCAATATGCTGACTCTCTGTAAACTGCTTAGAGAGGGCTGAAAGCCCTATGAAGCAGTATATAAGTCTACTGCTATTGCTATTGCTATAGCCCCCTTATAGCTATGTAACCGGAGGTCATTGCTTACCAGAGCAAACTGACATAGCCTTGAAAGTAACCGCAGTTGCAAAGCTGCAATGTAAACTTCTCCACAGTTCTCTCCCCTCTATTTTATGGCAGCAAGCATCCAGCTAGCTGACATTGCCTCCTCCTCCCCCCCCCCCAATAACAGGGGTATTAGCCATACAAATTTATAAAGATACATACAAATACATCACACTAAAACTGGCAATCCCTTTTGGGTTTGCCAGGGTATTTTATATGGAAAATTTGGAGGAGTTTAGATGTACAGACATGTTTACCATTCAGACTGTGCAGGGGGGAAATGTTTCCAAGAAATGAGGTATTTAGACCCTCCCCTCTGTGTTTTCTGGAATCTAGAATTTCTTTAACTTCAAAATGCTGCTCCCCTTCACAATCAGAATGGGTATGGGAGTGTCAGGTGCAGGGTGAAGGGATGATAGAGTTTCAGGTTTCAACAAACTGCAATGAAATACAGGGTGATGTGCTTTAAGTTCTTGGGCAACTCTAGTTGCACAGTGACTGGGTTAATTACTTTAATGTTTGGGAATGGGCCCATGTATTTAGGACCAAGTTTCTTAAATGGTTGGGAGGGCTGCAGGTACTTCGTGGAGAGGTAAACTCTGTCACCAATTTGAAAATATTTTGGCTTCACACATTTTTTGTCAGCTTATTTTTTATGTGTCTGACTTGCCTCCTCCAGTGACTTACAGGCAACTGGCCAGGTATTCTGCACTTGGGCTGTCCACTCCTCTAAGGAGGATACGTGTGATTTCTCTTGAGGCAGCTCCAGCATAGTTACAAAGTCCTGCCCAGAGGCCACCTTAAATGGGGCTACTATGCACAGAATTGTTATATGCTACCTCTGCAAAAGGCAAAAGGCCATCCCAATTGTCCTGTTGGTAATTAATATACCTCCTAAGGTACTATTCCAGGATTGTGTTAGTTCTCTTGCCCCATTAGTTTGGGGGTGATGGGAGGAACTTAAGCCCTGTGTCAGATCTGTGTATCTGCCATTCTTCGGTGGACAAAGGGGGGGGGGGAGAGAGTGGATTTGATGCATTTTGTACTTTCTCCTTTCTATGTCTTGCCTTGCATGTTTATATAACCTTTCGCCCAATTTATAACTGTTGCCTTGAGCCTCAGAGGTCCAGAAAATCCTTGCCACTTGGAGGATGCAAAGGGGGGTGAGGGGAGCCATGTGGTTTGAAACATGATCCTTGAGAATCTCTGCTTATCTGTTCCTCAGACAGGCCGGTACAGGTCCATTTCATACTCTGCCAGAAGATCCCAACAGCCAAGTTATTAGCAAAAATGTTTTTAGTCCACATTTATCACCTCCATGGAGCTCCCCAATGGATTACCTCAGACGGAGGTGTCCAATTCGCCTCCAAACTTTGTCAGGCTTTCTTAAACCTGTTAGGCTCTGCCCAGGGGCTATTCTCTTTGCATCATCCTATGACAATGGTGAGGTTGAAAGGACCAATGGCATATTGGAACAATATTTAAGATGTTTTATTAACTACCAACAGAACAACTGGATTGATCTGTTACCTTTTGCTTAAGTAGCTTACAACAACTCTACACAGCAGCTCTGGCTTCACCCATTTCAGGTTGCCAAAGGACAAGAATTCAACCCTAGGTGAGAGCTACCAGCTAAGGAACCTGACATCCCCCCCCCTTAACAATCTACAATCCACTTGGCCAGTGATCAGACTGGCTCTAAAAGAAGCTAGAGCAGTTTTTAAAGTTCAAGATGACAAGAAACACCATTCAAAGTGGGGGACTGTCATGAGAAAGGCCTTTGTGGAGAGAAGATCGTTGCTCTTCCCTTCCTCTACCCACCAACCCCAGTCTGCTCCGATCTGTCATGCAGCAAAGAGATACAGTAGCTGGGTGCAATAGTAGCAATAGCAATAAGCACTGCATGACAGATCCAAGGGGATTGGGGGGTGGGAGGTGGAAGAAGGGAAGAGGAACAATCTCCTCTCCATGAAAGCTTTTCTCAGGACACTAGATCTCTACTTTCTGGATATTGGCATTGTTAGGATCTTGGCTGGTGGAAGAAGCATGCGGTGGAAAGAAAACTTTGGACTGCGGGAGCGCCAGGTCGTCAGCCTCCCTAGAGCCTGGCACCTGCTTTTGCCCTGAGACTAAGGAAGCGGGGTTGCAAAGAGGGCTGTGAACAAGTCCGGTTCTTCAAGGAAGCAACCTTGCCTGGTTGTTTTCTTTGGGCTGCCTTTTTGCCGCTCAGGCGCTGCCACGAGTAACCGTTAATCCAAATGGAAGGGATCCCCACCCCTTTTCACCCAATGGATCATTCCTGGTCAAGCGCGGCGGCAGCCATTCAGCATGCCGACTGCCACTGCTTGGACCAAATGGCTCCGCGTCGTTGCCAGTCGGGGGGGGGGGGAAGCACAGAGAGATTTGTTTAGCCTTGCCGTGCTGTGGGAGGGGTAGAGAAAAGGAAGATAGAACCCCCACAATCATGTTTTTGCCTTCCCCGGCCCCTAGAAGCACAAACTTTTTGGGGAGGGCAAAAACTTTTTTTAAAATTTACCATTTCAAAATCTTGGTGTGCCTTATACTCCAGTGCATCTTATACTCTGAAAAATATGGTAGTAAGCTTGCCACAAGTCTAACTTAGTGAAAAAATTTTCTTTGGCTAGATGGTCAACATGTCCTTCATCAGTGGCAGAGGGTAGACATTTTCTATGCACACTGCATTTAGTTTCCTATAATCAACACATAGACGAAGTTCGTTCTTCTCCCGGATTAAAACTGGGGCTGCCACTCGTGATCTTGCTGGTTGGATAAATTCATGTTTTAAGTTTTTCTCTATGAAGGTTCAAAGCTCTCCTAGCTCACATGGAGTCATCAAGTGAAGTTTAGGCTTTGGGAGTTTAGCTCCAGGAAAAATTTCAATACTGCAGTCCGTTGGGCAATAGGGCGGGAGCACATCAGCGCCTTTGTCACTAAATAAATCTCTCAAGTCCCAGTACTCTTTTGGGATTTTGGCTTCACTTCTTGAGTGATCCCGAGCTGCTGCCCGCAGCTCCCTTTGCCCTTTATTTCTCTCATTGCTGGGTTTTGGGATCTTTTCCTCTTCCTTGGCCACTTTCTGCTGAATCTTTAAAAGCCTCCTCCCTCAATTCATTTCAGGGATCCATTTCTGCATCCAAGACAGTCCACATAGGAGGGGCCTCTCCATCACTGGCGCCACTATAAAACTCACTTTATGCTTTCCCATTCTCATCTGTACTGATTCAGTTATAAAATAAGCTGGGCCCCCTCCAGCTACAGTCTCATCTAGCTGGTAAAACACTATGGGAACTCTCAGCTGCTTGAATCCCAGTCCCAATTTTTCAACCACTTCAGGACTGACTATGTACCTAGTGCAGCTCAAGTCCAATAAAACCACCATCCTCCTTTGGGCCCCCAAAGAGGACACCACTAACTCTACAGGGAGGTAACTAGTCACCTGCCGACTTATCCAGGGATCATCATCACCGTCGCTGTTAGCTTCACCTAAGTTGGTTGGAGTTCCCAACCCCTCAGAACCAGGAGGGGTGAACTCTACAACTGCCAAACATTTCAGTGCTCTCTCTCGGGTCCTTGGAGCTGGTTTTGTTGCCTCCTCCCTCAGAGTTGCCATGGCATGGGTCTGCTGGATTGGTATGCTGCAGCTCAGTGCCCTCCCTCCCACATTTGAGACACATTGTGCTCCTAGGGTGTTTCTTACACGTGGGAGGGAAGGACCTGTCTGCTGGCCCTCCAGTGTCGGTACTGGGCAAGGTTTATCTCCACTTCTGCTGCCATCACATACCAGCATTGTAGGGTTCGTGGGGCCCGGCGCGAGACACAGGTGTGGTGGATGTCATCATTGAGGCCATCTTTGAAGCAGTCGATGTTTACAGACCATGCGGCCAATTGGCAAGCCAACTCTCAAAACTCCTGGGTGTACGTGAGCATCAACCATCGCCCTTGGGCGATGGTCTTTATCCTAGCCTTTATTCTAGCCTTGCGTTCAGCCAGTGGGTCCTCAAAACATTGGCGAAGGGCTGCGATAAAGTGGTCATAGTTCTGCAGTTGGGGGGCATTATCAATGTGGAGGGAGACCATCCACTCAGCCGCCACCACTTCCAGGGCCATGGTTACTCATCCAGGCTTCTGCCATCTCCAATTTGGCCCCATACTCCTGCATGTAGTTCTAGACTTGCACCAGGAAGAATCCCAATTGCTCAGGGTCTCCCCCATACTTATCACCGAAGGCTGGGACCTCTGGTACCTTCGAGAAAGGGTCCCTGCAGGTGGAGTACACAGCTTGGTCTGGAGTGACCCAGGGACCTTGAGAAGCTGCCTGTGCAAGAGGCTCTTGGGCTCTTTGACTCCTCCTAACCTATTGAATCAGGAACAGAACTTTGTTCAGCATGGCGTCCTCTAAGTTTCTCTCCGGGAGCGGGAGGTTTTTCATTTCTCCTATGCCCCTCGCCCAACTGAGCCTGATAGGCTTCTCGCTGAAGTCCAGCTCCTCTTGCCATTCTGTCTCACTTCGAGTCCGGTGTGTTTTAGTGGGAGAGCTGGCTGTAGCTCCAGTTTCCTCCAGCTCGCTCCCATCGTTAGACATTGGATGCTTGGTCCACATGGTAGACTGCTGTCTCCTGGTTGACCATTAAAGCAGAGCTTGCTTAATGTCAAGGCTGCCTCTGTTCAATTACTAGGAAAGAAAAATCATTGGCTCCATAGATTTAGAGAAAAGTACTTTTACCAGGAGCAAACTGAATGAAAATGGTTTTAAGCAAGCTCTGAGGCACAGAGCAAAATCAGCACTGATACAGATACAGTGTACAACCCAGCCCCCTTTTAGCTAGGCAACCGGAGGCCACTGCATATCAGAGCAAAGTGATATGGCCTTGAAAGTAATTGCAGTTGCAAAGCTGCAATGTAAACTTCTCCACAGTTCTCTCCTCCTCTATTTTATGGCAGCAAGCATCCAGTTAGCTGACACAAGCACTCAGATCACTATCGTGTGACTGGAGGATCGGTGGCACATGATATTTTATGATGGCCGAAAATGCTTTGTGGACCATAAAGCACCCTTTCTGAGCGTCTTAACTTCAAAATGGTTATTAATCAATTGGTTGTAAGTCAAGGACTATCTCACAGTAGCATTAGCTTCCACCCACTTCTATTTTTGGATAGAAAAATAAGGAAATGAAACAATAGGACATAAAATAATTCTAACTATATGGCAGTGATTGCTAACCTTTTTGCGTGCCAAAAGCATGTGTACACCCACACCCATAATACAATGTGCATGCGACGCCCCTGTGCGACCTCCACACATGTGCACACGACACCACTACCACCCTGTGGCCCGTTTTGGGCCTAGCAGGCCTTGCTGAAGCCTCCTTGGACCAAAAACAGGCCATGGGGGGGCACACCCCTCCCCGCATTCCCCCCACCCCCTACACATGCATGACCCTCCACACAGGTGCGTTTCTCCCACATGTGCGGCAGAGACCCAAAAAGCAGCTGGCTGGCAGGAGGCACATGCACATGAAAAGTGGAGCTGAGCTGTGGCAACAGCTCATGTGGCTGCAGGGAGGGCTCCACATACCACCTGTGGCACACGTGCCATAGGTTCACCATCACGGCTATAGGGTCTCTCTGCTTCCCCAAAGGAGTGTGAGTGTCTCATTCTTTCCCATTTTATCTGCCTTGATTCTAAAGTTCTTCCAACCATCAGGTGTTTCATATTTATAAAGCAGAAAAAAAGTCGCCCACACAAAACGAACCATCATGAATATTAGCAAGATAGCACAAAGTTCATTCAAATGCAAGCCAAAGTTGTGGGTTACCAATCTTTTGCTGATTGTAGTTTGCCACGTGATTAGCATCAGATTAAGCCTTATACAATATATATGGTTGCTCTTAACTTTCAAGTACCTGGTGTAAGGAGACAATTCACCTTTGAAAATATCTCTTTCAGGGAAGCCATGCTTCGACTTCGCTGGCGATTTGCCTGCAAATAGACAAAACTAAGCTAGTAAAAACAAACTCAACGGAGATCTATAAATATTATAGTTAGCATAAGTCAATACAGATAAATGTTTACAATCTAAATATTACAGTCACTCCCAGAACAAAGAGTAAAATTACTGACTGATGGTCAGACCTGGAAGCCATGTTTTATATTGGGCCTTCAGGCCTGCCACATTTTCTACTGTGGGAAAATGGGAGGGGGGATTATATGGAGTATGAAAGATATATAGTCAAAATAACATTCTTTTCTCAGAGAGTCAAGGACACCTTGCCTTGCCAGCTGTGATAAGATGACTGGGAGGCATCTTCAGTTTTGGACGGTGCCTGATTGGACCATGTAATGGACATGAGGGTGCTGGGCAGGGACTTGAACTTTCGCTTGGGTGGGGAAAACCTGGAAACTTTCAGATTCAGGTTTTCNAGTCAACCTTGAGCCGGTGAGATTTGAACCGCTGAACTGCTGATAGCAGTCAGCTGAAGTGGCCTGCAGTACTGCACCCTAACCACTGCGCCACCTCGGCTTTAAAACCGGTGATGGAAGAAGAATTGACACCTTTGAACTGGTGATGGTGGCGTAAATTACTGCATATACCAGGGGACAGCCAGAGTCACTAACAGAGGGGTGTTAAATAGTTAAATACATCACTAGAAACTAAGAGCATAAGACTACCTCTGGTTTACTTTGGTGTGCAAATTCATCGGAGAAGGCAGTGACCCTAGGTAGGAATGGTTCATGGAACAAAGAGAAGGGACAAGCAAAGAACAAGCTGGCTTGATAAGATCAAATCCGATGCAAAGTTGAACATCCCACAATCGAAAAAAGCTGTGATTGACAGGGTAGCATGGAGAGAACTTGCCTATAAAGTAACTTAGAGTTGGACTCGACTAAATGGTTAAAAACAAGCAATTTACTAAATACATTTATATAACACCTCTTGCCCCCCAATTCACATATATGGGGACTCAGTGGCTAAGATGCTGAGCTTGTCAATCAGAAAGGTCAGCAATTGGGCGGTTTGATGGTTAGCGCCGTGTAACAGAGTGAGCTCCCGTGACTTGTCCCAACTTCTGCCAACCTAGCAGTTTGAAAGCGTATAAAAAATGCAAGTAGAAAAATAGGGACCACCTTTGGTGGAAAGAGAACAGCCTTCCGTGCGCCTTCAGCGTTTAGTCATGCCGGCCACATGACCATGGAGACGTCTGTGGACAGTGCTGGCTCTTTGGCTTTGAAACAGAGATGAGCACTGCCCCCTAGAGTCAGGAACAACTAGTACATATGTGCGAGGCAAAGGTGGGTTTCAGCCAGTACAGACCGGTACTGGCATACCATTTGGTGAAATTTAGCGTGTTTTCCCGTACCCGTTCTTCTGGAGGCCCCATACCGGAATGCTCCCTCCCCTAGCCTGCCCCACCCACCACTCGCTCCCCCCGCCCACCCGGTCGCCACTCGCTTGCTCCCCCCGTCAGTCCAGTTGCCGCTCCCTCGCTCCCCCCGCCTGTCTGCACCAGGCTTGCCCCGCCCACTCACTTCCTTTGCCGGAGCGGAGGATTGCGAGAAGCCCATGTGGCGCGCACTTCCTTCTCTTTGACAGCCCCCTCGTTTCCAAATAAGGGGGTGGGGATTCCATGCAGAGGGAGGAAATCACATGCTGCCAAAGAAAAGAGAGCAGCGCGCACCACGTGGGCTTCTCCAACAGCTGAATCCTTGCCTCCAGTTCTCACCCTCTTCCCCCATGGCAGGAGTAACTCAGTGACTTGATTGCTCCCTCTCAGTCTTCCAGGCTCATTGGCAAAACTATATTTTAGGGCCTTTTAGAAAAACAGCAGGGTGAAGATGAAACTTACTCGGGGTGGGGGGAATTATGTTCTATAAAGAAGGGGCCACCACCGAGAAGATCCCTTTTTATGGCCCGTTAACAATCCCTAATCAATGGGACCTGTAACACACTCTGCCTTCTCGTCCCAGTAGGCCAGTTAGATATAAAACATGGCATTATAACAATAATACAAGCATTAGTGGTACATTTCTCAGTGCAGCATAAAGAGCGTTTTTTTTTCAAACCAAGTGATTCTGAATGGAAAAGTAGGTAGTTTCATATATGTTTGTTAGCAAGATTTTGGATTCTTGTGGAGTTTTGATTCTTGGAACTCAAGCAATTTAATTTGATTTAATTTTACTTTCTCCAGAATTTGGGAGTACAGATCCCAGGGCTGTAGATTAGATAGGAAAGATGAAACAACATCTTACCAAACTTTTCTGTACCGTTACCAAGAAAACAGGCTCAACAAAATGCAGATTAATTTTTAAGTGAAATTAGTCTTAAAAAGAGCTTTCTCCCACGTTGGACATGTCCTAATTATTTTAACTGTATTGAGAAACAGATTCGCAAAAAGCTCTCTGCCACCTTTGGTCTCCTGTGTCTTTAAAAGGCCTATTTTTTTAATTATTATTATTTATTTTTAAATTTTATTTACAAACATGTAAAATACACACACACAAAACTTAGACGTACACCACATTTACACAAT